CATGCCTTTGTGGCTGGGGTCCCTAAGTTTCCCTAAGAATTTGAGGTTCCTGGGTAATCTCAGGGTTCCTAGATACAGTCCTATGACTTCCATGTCTGAGTCCCAGGGAACTCTGGGAATACTCCAAGTCCTGTAGACACCTGGACCCTGGGAGTCCTTGCCAAGCCATCCTTTGACTTCCTGGCTAAGGAACTCTGGGTCTTCTGGATTCTGGGGTACCCTGGAAATACTGGGCTTCCTGGTATTCTCTTTGTCCTGTAGAACCTGAGGGTTCCCTGGGCATCAGGAGCGCCCTGGCCATCACCCAGACCTCCTGGGCAGCTCCCAGGCTCTTTGGAAATGAGGGCACCCTGCCCTAAGCATAGTGACTTTGGTCTGGGTAGGTTTCTGCCAAGGGCCTCATGACATTTTGGCTGCCTTGGGAATCTAAGCTCCCTGGTCATTAGCCACCTCTCCTGCTGTGTGTGCCTGTCTTCAGGTCCCTGTTAATTTGGGGATGCTCTGGGAATGGGGAGTCCCAGCCCATAAACCCTTCGAAGGACTTTGGTCTGGGTGGTTTATTTTTTGGTTGTTCATTCATTTTTTTGTAAGATGGGGTCTTGCTATGTTGCCCAGGCTGGTCTTTAACTTCTGGGTCCAAGTGATCCTCCCTTCTCCACCTCCCAGAGTGCTGGGATTACAGGGTGAGCCACTGCACCCAGCCAACATTTCATTTACTTATTCATTCAAAGTGAATTGTAGACATCAGTATTCCTCACCCTCAACATTTCTTGGTCTGGGTGGTTTCTGAGCCCCGACGGCCACCATCCTCCACTTCCAGGTTCCACGTAAACCTGCTGTGCGGGGAGGAGCAGGACTCGGATGCCGCCCTGCATTTCAACCCTCGGCTGGACACGTCGGAGGTGGTCTTCAACAGCAAGGAGCAAGGCTCCTGGGGCCGCGAGGAGCGCGGGCCTGGCGTTCCTTTCCATCGCGGGCAGCCCTTCGAGGTGCTCATCATCGCGTCCGACGATGGCTTCAAGGTGCGTCTCTGAGACAGGGGCGTGGACGCCAAGACCTAGGTCCCTGGAGCAGAGGGTTGGGCAAAGCCAGGCTATTGGTGGAAGGCAGGGAGGTTGGGGCGGGGTGAGGGGGGTAGGGAAGGCGAGGCCAAGGCAGAGAAGGGTGTCCTTCGACCCTCTCTCTCGCCTAAACAACTCCCACTTGGGTCCGAGAGACAGCAGGGTC